CGCCGAGAACGGGAAGGAGGGAGGCTCGAGGACCAAGGGGCCGAGGGTGACCGAGGAGGATCGGGGATCGAGGATGGCCGAAGACCGCGCCCGGACGAGGAACAAACAACACGCACCCATGCCCATAGGGGGTCGGACGAGGCGGAGAGGGGAAATGGAGAGGGGGGGGGAACGGTAGGAGGACGGATTGGGGGGACGCGGTGAAGAGGCGGGCGGGGGGCAAGGCGATGGGAGAGAATCAGGGAAAGGGGAAGCGAGAGGAGGATGCGATTGGGGGCAGGCGGGATGGGGGAGGCGGGGAAGGGGAGAGGGACGGCGGAATGTCGACGGGGGGGCGAAAGGAAGGACAGGGAGGGAGACTCGGGGATCACGAGGGTGGACCACCCCCCTTTCTTCACCCGCTCTCTTCCCCTCGTGTCACGCCCGCGGCGACCAGGCGACCCGGAGCGGCACGGCGGGTACACCAGGTTTTTGTCCCGGAATGAGATGGGGAGCGCGCGACCACTGAATGTCACTACGGCGTGACTGGCACAGTAACGTGAAGCAGAAGATCGCCAGGCAAACTCGGATCGCTATACGAGCCGACCTTCCATAGGCAAACTGACGCGACAAAGTGTAGCCTGGGGGGGAGAGAAGACAAAAGGAGCGAGAAAGGACAGATGGGGAGAGGAGGATGACGAGGAGGAACAACAGGAGACAATCAACACACACAAACACACACACAACTACACACACACACACGCTCGCACTGGAAGGCACGAGTCCGAAGCCTACACATCCGCGACAAGACGATCGACCGAAACCGCAAGACTCTAAGAGAAATTCCGATAACGCGTTGTCGAAGACAAAGCGCGCGAAAGAGAGGTACTTCTCGAGATGTTGTGATCGAAGTGGCGTGCTCGAGAAGGTTGCGCCAGAGCCTGAGCCGCCCCAGACACACCTCCTAGGCTAGCGACGGCTGGTTCCACTACGAGCACAGCCGAAACAAACAACTAATGCCACAGTGATGCTGACTGACGTGCCCACGGCGAATGCAGGGGCGAGCGCGCGAAGCGGGCCAGCGCGCAAGACCTGGCGAAGGCTCCCCGCCAACACCAGGGCTGCCAGCGGCGCTCAGTAGGGCCGCCTGGCCGCAGAGCTGTTTTTTGGAGGGAGAAGCGAGGGAGACAGGGGGGGGGGAGGGAGGGAGGGAGAGAGATAGGGAGAGGGGGGGGGGGGAGGGAGGGAGAGAGATAGGGAGGGAGGGAGAGAGATAGGGAGGGAGAGATAGGGAGGGAGAGAGATAGGGAGACAGGGAGAAGCGAGGGAGGGAGGGAGAGAGATAATTAGGGAGAGAGGGGGAGGGGGGAGGCAGAGTCGAATTCCCCCTGCGACGCCCCAGGCCCGCCCGCGGCCGGCAGGCAGGCCCGTGCAGACTCATCATGCGCGAGCCAACGCGGTTCGGCAGCCGCGCAAGGACGCGCACCGGAGCATGCAAACCGGGAGGGAAGGGAGGGGGAGGAGAGGGAAGGGAGGGAGAGGGGAGGGAAGGGAGGGGGAGGGGAAGGACGCACACGGAGCATGCAAACTGGGAGGGAAGGGAGGGGGAGGAGAGGGAGGGGAGGAGCACGGGGTAAGACATCTGCAAAGTGTACTGCTGAAGCCACCAGTGGCGTGCCATTCAGGAGCCGTCCATGGGACGCACATGGACATACTAGTACTATATGTTCTCCTTGGAGGCGCGCGTCCGACCCGAGCATACAGTATACCCGTCTTGTATACCCGTCTTGTAGTGTATCGTTTCCCGGGCGGTGCGGCCAGAAAGCGACCGCCACGACGCATATACTGTAAGATTTCTCGGTGCGCGCGTCGCCCCTGGGGGGCGACGCACATATAGTATAAGTATGTTGGGGTGACGCCGATGGGAGGGAAGAGAGGGGGAGGAGAGGGAGGGGAGGAGCACGGGCAAGACATCTGCAAAGTGTACTGCTGAAGCCACCAGTGGCGTGCCGTTCAGGAGCCGTCCAGGTGGTACCTTCCCCTGGCAGACTGCAACAAGGAGGGATTGCGAGCCAAAAGTACGGCCTGTACGTGCGCATCTTAGATGCGTATGGGCAGGCCGTACTTTTACGCATCTGGTAAAATAGCTCTCTCTGTATGTATACTTGTGCCATAGACATAAACAGCTGTCTTGACGCACTTCAGAACGCCAGCGCGGCCACTGCGACTTACGACTGCCACCGCTGGCTGTGATCATTGGGGCGTGAGGCAAGCTCGCAACCTCCATCCAACACGTCGGACGATTCTAGCTCGCTTGGTTCCCAAAATCTGCCGAAGGAAAGCCCTCATAATCACTGGAAGGTGCTCTTCGAGAAAATGATTGATCGACCTATCCACACTGAATACTTGCGCTCAGGTAGAGACACGACCTTGGTCTTCTTTGTGGAAGAAGCCAATGCCGTCGGCTCCTTGGTCATGCGCTCGCCGATGCCTCGGAGCATCGCGGTGCCACCAAACAACGCCACGTTGGCGTACAGATCTTTGCGGATATCGACATCGCGCTTCATGACCGACTGGAACGTGGTGTCGTGGATGCCACTGTCTTCCCTGCCCACGAACGTGAGGTGGAAGAGCACCTCTGGGCAGCGGAAGCGCTCGCGGCCCACGGTAATGATGTTCCCGTCGGGGAGCTCGCACGTCCTCCTTATCGGCGCTGTCAGTGGCGGCATTCATCTCAGAGTCGAAGTCGAGCAAGATGTAGCAGAGTTTTCTCGCTATATGGGTACGATGTGCGACACGTGTGACTCGCCATCGCCGGAACCCATGACCATCCCAGTGGTGCGGACTGAAGCGTACAGCGAGAGCACTGCCTGGATCGCGACGTACATCGCTGGCACGTTGAACGTCTCAAACATGACCTGCGCCATGCGCTCGCGATTCGCCTTCGGATCCACGGGAGCCTCCGTGAGGAGCAGAGGGTGCTCCTCCAGAGCCACGCGGAGCTTGTTGCAGAGGGTCTGGTGCCAGACTTCAAGGTGCCATGCTCCATGGGGCACTTCAGGATCTGGACGCCGAGCTTGCTCTGAGCCTCGTCGCCCACGTACCTGTCCTCCTGGTCCATGCCGACCATCATCCCTGGCATCGTGAGAAGCTGCACCCACGGGGTGGACCAGGAGGCAGAGTGCAACCTGGCGCGGACCAAGTGTACTGAGAAAACAAAACTCTGCTCACCTGGGGCGAACCAGGCACAGGTTGACGCCTGGGGCGAACAAGGCGCAACGAATGGCTCAAGGCCATCCGAAACTTTGTGTTTAGGCTGCCTGTGTGCCTACTTGAGGGCACACTGCGTCGGGGTGGGGGGCGGGGCAGCCTTCTGCACGTCTTGAGGAGCGACGATGACGACGACGACGACGACGACGACGACGACGACGACGACGGCGGCGGCGGCGGCGGCGGCGACCCTGGCAGGGGCCGTGGCCGGCGGCGGGGTGCCGTCCTGCGTACCGGTTGACGAGGTAGGACAGGGCGGCGAGCAGGCGTCCGACCTCCCGCCCAGCGCTGCGGCGCGGCCTTTCGTGCGGGCCCTCGGCGGCCTTCGAGCGGCCCTCGCGCGGCTCTTGGCGCGGCCCTTCGGGCGCCCCTTCGAGCGGCCGGCCGGGCGGCCAGCCCCCGGAACTTCCAATGGTGGATGCCCCCGGAGGCTCAAAGAGGCGAGTCACACCAGAAAACTCCAATGCTCCACGGCGACGACGCCGACGCCGACGCCGACGCCGACGCAGACGCCGACACCGACGACGACGACGACGACGACGACGACGACGACGACGACGACGACGACGACGACGGCGACGACGGCGACGACGTGGCGGACCAACAGCGGCGCCCGCTCCGGGTCCTCGTGGGCGGCTGGGTCGCCGCCGCTGCCGGCTAGCGAAGCGAAGTCGGGGCGAAGGTGCTCGAAGACCAGGGGGTTGGAGCCTCGGGGGGGGGGGGGGGCGAGCTTCGACGGGCAGGGGGCGGGGAGCCTCGGGTGGGGGGGGGGGCGTGGGGGAGGGAGTGGGGAGCCTCGGGGGGCGAGCTCCGACGCTCGGCGGGAGAAAAACAAGATATGGACGGATACGGAATACGGTAGGAGTTTGGATGGGCCAGATTAGAACAGGGTAGGAGGATGGAGCAGGATGGGGCAGGGTCGGATGGGATAGGATAGGGTAGATGGGGTAGGACTGGAACGGACGTGATAGAATGAAGTAGGATGGGACGGCACAGGTTGGGATATGATATAGTGGTATGTAGAATCACACGGGATAGGATCGGCTGGGGGAGGATAGGAGAAGGTGGGAGAGGATGGGAGGATGATCTGTTTGGACGAGGATGATGACAGGATAGGGCAGGATAGTGTGAGAGGAGGAGGAGGAGGAGGAGGAGGAGGAGGAGGAGGAGGAGGAGGAGGAGGAGGAGGAGGAGGAGGTGGTGGCGTGGTGGTACTTAACATCTGGTCCACTTTGCACCTTTCGGTGAATTACAATCGACAGTTGTGCGCTTGGACGGGGGAAAGGCCCCTCAAGCAAGTTAGAAGTCGGCACGCTGCCACGACTGGCCATCTAATCAGGGGGCACCATGGATAACGCTAGGGTCGAGAAACCTAGCGAAAACATCCCGAACATGAAGTGCCCAAAGGCACGAGTCCGAAGAGTGACAAGTACGACGCCTCGGCTTGCACACACATACACACATAAACGCACACGGGAGGAAAGCGAGGAAGAGAAGAAAGCGAGAACACAGAGGACACACACAGCACAGGAGGACACGAAGGGCAAAGAGAACAGGAAAACGGGGGCAGGCGGAGCACAGTTTAGTGATCAAAAGGGGGGAGGCCTCAGCGTTTAGGTCAGACCTCAGCCTTTACCTGTCCTGCACATGACGACCGCAAAAACGACTCGAGGCATAAAGGTGTTACACTCATCCGCTGCCTGCAACTGTTATTTCTATATCGCTGATGGCAACACAAGCGTCGGCTGGCACGCTCAAAAGGCAAGGGCTTCACACTCAGGCAATGGAGTTATCGTTCCCCGTATCAGGATCCTCATTCTCCGTATCAGTAAACTCATTGTCTCGCACGTCGTCGTCCGGATTGTCGTACATAGAATACATGCCAAGGACTTGGGCGGTGCAGACAATGGCGGAGCTGCAGATCCGTTGAACGTCTGCTTCATCCTTGTTCTTCGCCCTATCAAACGCAAGGAATATGGCAAAAACGCTCTGCCCTGACATGTCCAGGCGTATCGGCCGACTTATCTCCTGGAAGCGTGCCTACACTTGGGACCACTGCTCTGGGCTCAACATCCGCACCGAAATAGCTTGTTGTGCAAGCGCAGTTCGTTCGAGGGCAGCTCGTCGACATGCTTCCGCACATAGATCGATCGTCCGCTCCCGAAGAGCAGTTGCCCAGCGAATGGCGCGGGAAAGTTGAGCCTGGCGAAGCTGAGAACCCACCGGGCCATCCAACCCATGCGCGCGACGCGTCGTCCCCCCACACTCGAACAGTGGCACCCCACATCGCAGCACATGGGATGTGGATAGCAATCGGTCGCTGTCCAACATTTTCCCCTTCGTCCAGAACGGATCCTCGTGGCCTGTGTATATGCTGCAGGGAGTCGCCCAGCGGCAGATTACCTCCGCACTCTTCTGGAAGGACGACGAGGAACCCCATGCAAGGAAGGCTAGGCCCGCCGTGAGGAAGATGCCATTGGCCCAGCAGCAGTGCAGGTGGAACGAGAAGCGCAGGGGGACCGTGATATGACGACGCCGAAATGGTTAGCACCCCTGATGTCCCTGCCCACGTTCCTGGAACGCACACCAGGCCAGGCGGGGAATACGTCTGGCAGATCGCGACGTCCAAACAGGCATCTGCGTCACCATCTTCTTATATGCGATTATTTTCGAGCTACGTGCGGGGGAACGGGAAAAATGCAACCAGCAGCAGCAAATGAAGGCAGCCAGGTCGTAGCTCAGATGCACCAGATTGCATTGTAGTGCCGGTGGCAACTGAATCTGAGCAGTGGGTCGTTTACGAAGTCTACTCTGACCTCTGACACCAGTGTGCAACGAAACCAGCGGGTCTGCGCCGCATCCCCTGTTCAAGATCTGCGCATGCAAGTTGGAGATGGCCATACAAGTATCATAGATGAACACGGCGGAACCAAACGATAGGACGGCACGAGTACTCATGTCAAGACACATCATGGCCTCCGCGTGCTGCTTCAGCTGCTCATCCCATCCACGTGGTGCGCTTTCCATACCACATTTGAATTCTAATGCTCGCTGCCACTCTGGGTCCGCGTCCTTCAAAAAGAGGGGCCCTGGTGCGGGCACCGCCCGGACTCAAGATCCGCCAACTTCACCGGGCGCGGAAAAAAGTAGATACGCCTGAGTGTTCCCTTGCATCACCAAGCTCATGCAACACTGCACCAAGGACAAAGCACAGCACATAGATCGGGGAGACGTAAGACCCGGGTACGGGGGACTCGAAAATCCCCGACGAGGTCGTCAAAAAAATGACGAGGCCGAGCCTGCATTTTGACGAGGCCTCCCGCTGCAGACATCCCACGAAACTCCTCCTCGTCAAAATCCGAGGCGCGGTCGTCAAAAAACGATGGCGAACCCGAGTCCTGGCAAACCCGGGTCTTACGCTCCCCCGAATAGAGAGAGAGAGAGAGAGAGAGACACACACACAAAGAAAACAAACCAGAGCAACAAAATGTGCGGACCGCGCGCCGTGGCAGGCGGGTGCCCGACTGGAGCGGGAAAGGGAACGCCGGGTGGGGAGGTACGGACGGCCCCGCGGCCGCACAGGAAGCGTGAAGGGACCTGCGCCAGTGCGGCAAGGAGGAAGAGGAGGAGGAAGAGGAGGAGGAGGAGGAGGAGGAGGAGGAGGAGGAGGAGGAGGAGGAGGAGTGGATTGGATAGGAAGACAGGACACGATGGGAAACGATAGGATGCAATAGTATGAGGTCGGATAGGACGGGATTCGGTTGGAGCCTATGGAATGGGCGTGATCTGAATTGCGTCGATGACGCCGCTGCCGGGCACTCCTTCCACACTCCTCCCTCTCCACTCCTTCCCTCCTCCTCATGCAATCCTCCCCCCGCCCTCCTCCCTCTTCCGCACCTCCCAGCACCCCCCTGCCAGCTCCCCCTTCTCTCCCCCTTCACTCCTCCCTCAGCCCCCCTCTCCTCCTCCCCCAGCTTCCCCATGCCCCCCCCCCCACCCCTCGTCCTGAGGGCAGGCAGGCAGGGCCGCCGCGCGCGCACTTTTTTGAGGCCGGCCCTCCCCCCGCGAGCGCGCTCGCGCATGCGCTCCTGCGGCGGGCGCCAGGGGCTCAGCTTAAAAAAACAAGAAAACGGCCTCCCCGCGGGACGGCCCGAGGCCTCTCCGGCTGCTCGCATGGGCCCTCGGCGGCGCGCACAAGACGCAAAAGGCCCCCCGATCCCCCCCTCCGCCCACATTGTCGGACCTGCTCGGAGGACCGGAACTGCGAGGGCCGACGTTCGGAGAGGCCTTTCGCCCTGTCAGAAGCCTCCAGGCACCCTCTCGTCGCCACGGCTGGACTCCCCTCGAAATTCTGGCCAGGAGGCAGCCCAGAACGAGCCCAGGAGCCGACTCTTGACCCCCGATCCCACGTCCGGTCCTCGGCGCCTGCGCGTTTGCGTCGGTTCCTGGCGCCTCCCCGGCGTCGGGAGGATTTCCAGGAGCCCAGCAGCTGCGCCTCGCGGAGGGCGTCCCGGGGGTGCCTGGATCGTCCAGCAGGGGCTCGCCTTCTGGTGGCGGAGAGCCCAAAGGGGATGTGAGCGGGGGGCGGGACCTCTGAGGAATCCTCCGGCCTCCGGCCTTCTGAGACGCCGTCTCTGTCGTCGGAACAGGCTCAGAGAGCTTCTCAGAAGCGGCGCGGGCTTCTGAGGAGCCCCATGGAACCGCGCGGATGTCTGGGCTCCGCGACAGGGACCCCGCCCCGCGAGCGGAGCGCGCCGGGGGCCCAGCGCCGATCCGAGAGACCCGCGCGGACCCTCGAGAGTTCATGCTCGTGCCGTTCTTGCTCATTCGATGGTCAGAAGGCCTGCCCCCTCTCCTGGAGGCCTCCCAGATGGGGTCGGAGCAGATGGGGTCGGAGGATCTCGCCACATCGCCGATACATCGGCGATGCACCGTTGATGTATCGCCGACGTCGGCGATGCAGCGGCGGCGTCCGCGTGGAGAAGATCGGGCTCCGCATCGAGCCGCATGGCCGATGCATCGGCTATGCGACGCGGTCCTCCTCCGACCCCATCTGGGAGGCCTAGATCGTTGTTCACCCCTCCCTGGGCGCGCCGCCGATTCTGGGCCCCTCTGGCGTCCGACCCCGCTCGGCCGCCTGGCTCGGCCGCCTGGGCGCGCCGAACGGGCTCGGTGCCCACGGCCCCGTCGGAACCCCGGAGCTCGCTGGGCTGCTGCCCTCGGGCGGCCGGGAGGGGGTCGGCTGCACGCAGGAGTGACCCTGGGCACGAGTGGCCTTCGGTGCGCGACTTTCCTGGGGGCCGCGGGGAGGCCAACCCTGGGCGCGCAGGCCGCTGCCGATGCATCGCAGCCAGCCGTCGAGGGCTCTCCGGCGAAGGGCCACTCTCACGCCCAGCCGAGAGGCCGGGGGCTCGGGCGCGGAACGGGCTCAGAACCCAGGCATCTGGCGTCAGCACCCAGGCATCCAGCGTCTCGACCAGGTCGGACCGACGGCTCTTCCTCGCTCTCGGCCTCGCGGGGCCCGTGCTGGGCCTCCTGGACCGTCAGGGCACGGGCGCCTCGGGCCGAAAGCGGGCCCCTGGGGGAGAGGGTCGAGAGGTCGTGGGGGGGGGCCTTGCCTCGAGAGGGTCGAGGGGCGCCGCGCGCCTGGGAAGGGGAGCCCCGGGGAAGGGCGTGGCGCGCGGGGGGGGTGGGGGCGGCCTCCCGAGAAGGCCGAGGGGGGACTTCTCGGAGGGCAGGGGGCCTTCATCAGTTTCTTGTGCCTCTCGTTCTTCTTGGGGGGTGGGGGGGGCAGGGCAGAGGGCCCTCTTGGAAGCCTCCCCCCCTCCGCGTCTGGAGAGCCTCCGCGCGGAGGCCCTCGGAGTGCAGGCCCGGGCTTCTGCGAAACCCCCCCTCGCGCGCGCCGCCGAGGCCTGCGCGGAGGATGGGCCCCGGACGTCCGATCTGCTGCCGCCGTTGGGGCCCCCCGCGGGGCAGGCTTCGGGCTTAACCCCGAGGCCCGGCGACGAGGGCAAAAAGGGCGACATCGTCACAAAAGACTGCACCCTGCGAGATGCTTAAGAAATCATGGGTTAAGAAACTCATAGTCTCAGAACTTGGATAAAAACCCAACATTTCCATGAACATCTTAGGATTTACATTGACACGTTAAGAATAATCGAGACTCTGGCCGAAAACTTAGGTTTTCTTAAGCATCGCCTAAGGTGTACGGCCGGAGCCCTGGACCCCACCGTTCATGCGGCACTCCTCGAGCCGGACGATCTCTGCGAGGGCCCCAGGGCCCGAGGCAGGGCGAACGGCAGCCAGAGTGCTAAAACACTTGGACGCCCGGACCTCGGGGCTCGGCAGCACCCGAACGAGGGGGGGAGGAGAGGACGGTGGGGAAGCAGAGCGCGCCAGTGGGGCCCCGCGCCGTCCCGCCGGCTCTGCCCAGGGCGGGCGGAATCACTTCTGCCTCACGGGCTGGTACGCGGAGGTGTAGGTGCGGGGCTTGTACATGCCCTGGCTGGGCCAGACGTTGCCGGTCGCGCCGCCGTCCTTTCGGGCCACACGCAGTAGCGGCCCTGGGCAAGAGTGGCTCTTGGTGCGCGCCTTCAGGCGGGCTCGGGGGGCCAAACACAAGCACGCGAGCCGCTGATGTCGCATCGCATTTAGCGATCGGGGGGGCTCCAGTGGGTCCGCGCGAGAGGTCACTCCAGCGAAGGGTCATTCTTGGGCGTAGTCGGGTCCTTCAGCCAGACGGGGGCCACCT